GATATCTAGGAAAAGCTTTAAAATTGTTACAAACAAAGAACGTATACAGTTGGACTTTGTGTGTTGTGAGAAGTGTGGCAAAGTGCTTGTATACCACGGGCACAAATCTGACGCTTCAGGGTTGAGGCGACACACCAGCTCCATACTGCCCGGTCAGAGTAAGCTGTTTTTCCAACATTATTTTGTGTTATATATTCGTGTTTGTTCTGAGCCATTGTATTAAGTTGTGATTGTCACAATCCGCTCCGTTCGATCCAGATGTGTGCCACGCCCACCTCGTTACCTCGTGTGATTCCCTGATTGTTCTCACCTGTGGCTCGTTACCAGTAGCTTGTCTTTTGTATATAGTCCTTGTCTCAGTCAGTCTACCCAGATCCGTCATTGTATTGTCTTGATGTTCGTGCCTGTCAGCCATCCCATTGCTATTAAACCCTGTTTGTCCGACTTCACGGCTCCGCTCGCCTGCTTTCCTGCTCGCCTGCCCCACAGTCTTGACAGTGATGTTCAGCTAGTTTGAATATATTTCTTTGAAATAAGGTTCAGGGTTCTCTTCTTTTTTAAGCTGCTCTTGTTTGTTTATAATAATGTGATATTTAAACATTTGCTGTATAGATTTGGTTATTGTTCTTTTTAATAACTGCAGATATTTGCACATCTGATTAGTTTTTGGGTTCAGTTTACATTTCTTTGCGATTCAAAGTTGAGAGATTTTTGTTAAATTAGTTTTATTTATTTAGTTCTTGTTCTACTGGAATAAAACATTTAATGCATATAAACTTATTTCATCATACAGTATATCCGTTAATGGGTCTGCGGGTGTGGGCGGGATTGGACAGAAATATTGCGGGAGCGGGCGGGAGTGACAGAGACAGACAGCGGGAGCGGGCGATAATGGTCAGAAATTCAGCGGGAGCGGGATTAAAAAACAGTCCTGCGCAGGGCTCTTGCTCATTGTCCTGCACCCTGTGATTGGTTAATTGGTTATGTCCTACACCTGTTCCTTGTTTGCCCTAGTTTTCTATGAGTATTTAAGTGCCTGCCCTGTTCTGTTCTCCAGAGAGTCATTGTTAGATGTTACTCTGTACTGCCCCAATAGACTCCTATGTCTTAATGCTTTAAGTGGATGATCACCTCCTTTCCCACCTGTGCCAAGCCTATAGTCCATGCCAATAACTAACATTACAGACCATCCAGAGCACATCTGTAGCTACAGTACATACAGGTACCAGCCTTCTGCTTGTTCCATTTGTACTAATAATGACACATTTAAATTTTTGTTTTATTGGAAAGAATCAGAACTTTTTAGCTTAATTTCCTTCTGCAAATCTTCTACTAGCCTTGTAGACCCAATTCCTATGGAATTCTTTAAGATGGCACCACTGAGTAGCACTCCCCTGTTAAACATGTGTCTTAGGCTTGGATGTGTTACAAAACCCGTTAAAATAGCTGTTATTAGACCTGTTCTAAAGAAACCAAATTTTGAACCTAGTGATTTAGGAAATTATAGACCTCAAATCTTCATTTCATTTGAAAGCTCCTGGGGTTAACCTGGGCCAGAGCAGACTTGTTCTTATGTTATTATGGTACTTCAGCGGGGATTCATTTAAGACACGTTGATGGAACGGAACTCCCACGTAAATGAGCCAGACTTGTCTAAATAAGTCATACTTACTTACCCCCCCCCTCAGAACGGAACAGAACAGAACAGAACACAAGCAGGGAAAACCTAGGACAATAAAACTAATATAGAAAATAAACACTGGGAAACAAAAACAAGAAACCCATGACTAAGGGATTATCATTCTCAAAGCCACACGGCTCAAACTGTTGAGCCATGCGGCGGTCTGGGGAAAGGGAAGAGCAAACTAGGGCTGAAAGAACAGAGACAGGGAGGAGAACAGGATGGCCAGTAACACCTGTTGACCAAACGACAGAAGACACAATGGGCAGGGTCAGATGGGCGCTGGTCCTGACAATTATTTTACCATTAAAAATGTAGTAAAGTCATCCCTCCTAAGAACTTGTGGGATTTGTGTGTTTAACATTGAAGTATTCTGTGTTAAACTAGACACAGATTCAAACAGGAATTTGGGATTGTTTTTGTTGTCTTCTGTTAATCTGGAGAGATACACAGACCTAGCAGTCACTAGTGCTTGTCTGTACTTAGAGGGGCTCTTTTCCAGGCAGCTTGCTTGAAGCCTGTTTAAGTTCATGCATATGATCAGAGTACCAGAGGGCAGGTTTCTTATGCTTTATTTTCGTAAGTGGAGCTACAAGATCTAGGTGCTGCGAAACAATTTCTCAGATGTTCACAGTTACCCGTTCAAGTTCATTTTCAATTCAAGTGAAAGTTTGAAGGACTGTGAAAGTTGGTCAAGAAATATTGTTGTAGATAATGAAATTATGGAACATTTGGTACTAAACTTCAGAGCTGGGGCCGAAGGGAGGCTATATTGTATTTCAAAAGTTAACAAGTAATGAACTGAAAGTAGAGGATTCTGAGTTCCACCAGAACCCCATGGGTAAGAATCAAATCCAGGGTATGGTTGCAGGCATGAGTAGGCCCGACTACATTCTGACGCACACCACCAGAGTCAAGAATAGAAGCAAATGTTGTCGTTAAAAGATCACTGTCATTCTCCATGTGAAAATTAAAATAATCAACAATCGCGGCTTTGTCAGTGGTGACCACCAGGTTTGTTAAGAAATCTGCGAACTCCTTTGGAGAATTACTGTAGGGACCAGGCGGTCTATACACAAAACCAGTGGTTATTGGAGGTGAAGAACTACTGTACAAAGAGACGCACCAGCAAGATTGAGAACAAGGATTTCAAATGTGCTAAAGCTATAAGCACTTTTCTCAGACACTCTTAGGTTGGACTGAAATATTGCAGCAACATCAACACCTTTGCCATTTGGTCGAAGGTTATGCTTATAACTGTATTCATTTGGAGTAGATTCATTTAGTGCCATGAATTCTTATGGTTTAAGTCAGGTCTCAAGGTAAGGCATAAGGCACCAAGACTAAAATCATCATTTCATTTATTAGTAACGCCTTAGGAACCAGTGATCTTGTGATGTTGTGGGTAACACAGAAGCAAATAAAAGTAACCAAAGGTCTGCAGGTATAACATTTTTGGCTGAGTACAAGACCTGCAGAGGGAAAAGTGTGGACAAAATATTTTGATGTATTCATGAGTAAGTACAAGAACAAATTTCATGCCTATTATTATATATTGTTTTTCATGATCTTATTTTCGTCATGTAATGGTAACAAACAATGATGTTGCTTTGCAATATTAACATTACAGTACAGTGGTCATTGTCGTTGGTTTTACAGCAGATCTGGGGAGTATTCCATGAAAGTAGCTAAAGAAAGGCAGACTTTCCCTTAATCCTGCTTCGTGGAATACCCCCCTGGTTTGATCACACATTAGTAAATATGTCTTAAACGTTGATTGAATAGAGTCAAAACAGAATCCAATCAGCCACTTGTGAATCAAAATCGATTCAAATTGTGAGGCCAGGCCCGATTTCCAAACCTAAACAAAATCCATATATTCCTCAAATAAAAATGTTCTAATTTATGTTTTGGCATCTTTAAATTAAAGTCTGTCTGAAACATAGCACGTGAGTTTTTAAGACTTGCCCATTTTTACTTTCAGCTGTTCTTTTTAGTGAAAAGTCATTTTTTCTGCTTTGAAAGAGATAGATTTGTTTTGTTTTTAAGGAACTATACTCATATGTTCCTCAAATAAAAAGATTTTGGTATACAAGCCTCTGGCCTTTCTTTGATGGGTTTCAACAATTTGTTTCCAGGACATTGCACTGCATTTGACCAAGAAGGATAAGCGGTTTTTAAAATGGATGAATGGATGGACACTGCATTTGTAAATTTGTGTTCTATTTTGAGCTTTTTAACGTTAGAACTACCAACGTTTTTTCAACCTCCTTTAACCACCAGCAGTGATGTACTTCAGTGTATCACAAGTTTTGTTTTTGCAAATGAGCCATCACATTAGCATACTGTTCACCCATTAAGAAAACAATGCGAAAGTCAATAATCCTTGCAACTGCAGAGCTGCCTTTACATACTGTACAGTATATACTGTAATGTAGAGCCTTGAAATGATATAACTGGTGTCTATTACAAGAAGAAGTATCAGTTTGCTGAAAGAAAATGATCGATCAGTGACAATAAAAAAGCAGAAAACAACTGTCATTCAGAATTTTGGAGTTCAAGAGCATACTTACACTGGTATTTTCACAATATATCTAAACATTTTGACTCATCGTTAAAATGATACTGACTGTACTTTTCATTTTGGTGACACTGACCAATTCATTGGTGGAATTATTTGCTTTTGAGACAGCTGTTAATTGTTTTGGTTACAGGTTTTTTGCAGCAAAATCATAATGTTGTGCATGAACTGTTTTGAGAAATGCTCTCATAGTCATGAGAATGTTAAGTATGATTCATGAAATGTGCCAAAGCAATTGAGAAAAACTGTAACACTAATGGCACATTAGTGCAAACAAAAGCGCTGCATATGCCAAAGTATGTCTTGCTTGGCGGTTAAAGGAGTTTGAGCGTTCACTGGCATGGGAAATGTTTCACATCTTTCCAAATATGGAAAGCTGCTATATAGCATTTCCTATCTCATTCTTATCAAATTGATATATAATTGGAATCAAATTGGATTTTATTAAATCGCTATCTTGTGAATCGTAATCGCATCAAATCAGGCCATCTATGCCAACGTCCAGCCCTATTCAATCAGGGCTGCACTGTTAACAGTCTAAGATAATGCCTTTCCAAGTAGGAAAGCAAAGTCACAGCAAGTGGAATAATGCTTAATGATACTGTCTATTGGGCAGGTTAACAGAGTTAAATACCTCATGCAATTACAACTGAGTCCTTGAGATTTTGGAGCAGAAATATCAAACTGTAGTATATATGCTACTTTGAGATAATGATGGCTGTTCCGGTATCTTCTCACCTGGAATACAGCTTCTTGTTTGGCTTCTCCTTCAAACAACCAATATGGTATCACAGTCAGGCCCTGGCTCTCTCCTATAAGAAGGAGAAAATCACTGAGGTCAATGCACAAGACACAAGAGTGGCCTACAATATGACATGCCAGACAAGTATATAAATCTATTACAGTTTTTCTCAGTTGCTTTGATGCATTTCTCACAACAGAATTGAAGTTTTCAAAACTGCTCGTTCAATTCCCACAACCTCTAGTCAGTTGTGCAGATAATAACAGCAATTTCTGGTTATTTTCGTCATTTTGCAATTGCTTTAGTACACTCAGGCAGATGCTTATGTGCAATTCTCAGCTATATCATACATTAGCGGTTGCTTATGTCATGATGATCAAAATGCATTGTGCTAGCCCTCTTTTGCATAGTCTTACACTCCAGAGAAATTTGTCATTGTGTAAGTCATTGCAGTCAAAACACTGAACAAGATAACATTGGCTATGAAATGTATTTTATAGGTTTCTACAAAACTTTTTTGGTATGTATTCACAATACTAATGATTCCTGCACCATTTTCATATACATGGAAGAAGCTGGCTTCAACTTGGCCCTAAGGAAGGAGACAATCTCAGAGATCGAATTTATCGACGGCATCGACGGCAAAAGCTGCCGTGCCTTAGCAATTTGCCGTGCTGCCCTGAATATTTACAAGTTCTTGCCGGCAGATACTTGCAGTGCCCTCTTCCTCAGTTGCCTTTGTGCCCTATTGTGTATGTTTAGATCATAATAAAGTCAATAAACTTATGAAATCAAGAACAAGTTCTTCCGTTTTTTACTTCTCTGTCCCTATGTCTGTGATTTTTGTTTTGATAAGCCCCTCCCAAAATTTTACGTTACCCCCCCCCCCATGGTTAAATTATTCAGAGC